CCCCCCCGTTTTGGGTGAAAACCTGTTTGAGTGATGCTGTCCATGGGGATGCTGGCTGGGGACACCCAATATTTCCCATTCCTTTGTCCCTGAGCCCCAGGTGGCTGTCAAAGGCGTTGGCAGGCAATGGATGGAGCTGGGAGCAGGGCTCTCCCACAGCCCGATCCACACCAGGAGGAGCATCCACCATGAATTTATCAGGACATGGAGGTGGATCTTTGCGGCGAGGGCAATTCCCCCCCACTGCCACGCTGGAGCAGGGACCTGCAGGAGATGCTCTGAATTTGGGTCAGTGGGGAGCAGCAAGAGTAATGCTGAACCCAAAGCCGGCCACGCGTGGGGGTGAGCTTCCCAGCTTCAGTGGGACCTGGACTTGGTACCACGATGCTGAGGAACTGGGGACCATCTCAGCCTCTTCATGGGCCAGTTTGGGGCCAAAGCCCAGCCCCATACATTGGATGAAACTGGTCCTATTCCTGTACCCAAAGGCTGTGAGTGCTGCAGTGCCATGGGAGATGCAGCAGCTCAGGGCTCAGCATCCCCGTCCCTGTCCTCTGCCAGCCCTGGCCAGGGTACAGCACCCTCCCCAAGGCTGAGGTGGGGGACACCACTGGTGGCACAGGGTGGCACATCACACCTCAGCCCATCTGCCTCAATGGGGATGGGAAAATGGGGCTAAAAACCCAACTTAAAGGTATTCCTTCACCTTCCTGTGACCCAGGCTTCATTCCCCACCCCTGGCTGGGAACTGCCATCCCAGCAAGGCACTGGCTGGTGTCAGCAGAGGCTGTTTTGCAGCTCTGCAGCTCTCCCACCCCATGGCTGGTATCAGGAGCACTTACAGCTGTCTTCTTCCTCCAGGAACACTTTGCTGACATAGCAGGCGTAGACAAAGCCGAAGAGCTGTGAAACAAAAGCAGTCGGTCACTGGGGTGATGGGCAATGGACCAGCATGGAACTGGGTGCTGTGAGGGAATGCCTGGAGTACCCCAGGGGGATTGGGAGCATCCTGGGCAGGATCAGTGCCTTCTCTGGGCTCGTGGTGCTGGAGCCCATCTCCAGTGGGTGCTGGTTTGGGATGCAACAAGGCTGGATGGTTTCAGCTACGCTATGAGGACAAGGGTGATGGCCCAGGGCAGGATGGGTGCTCATTGGCAGGTGCATGGCAGCTGCTCTGGACCCCAATTCCCTTTCAAGCTTTGTTTCCTTGCAGCCCCCAAGGTTCCAGAGGAGTTTTGGATCCAGGGATGTCCCCTTCCCACTTCCCCATCGGGTGAGGCAGCCACGGGGAAGGGGGGACCATCCCTTGTGCCAAGCAGCACATCTTCCAGACAACACCTCTGCGTGGATTACACTGATTGCTCCCCAATCCCTGCAGCACCCAGCCCACAGCCTAACAGGTTTTAGGGTGAGCAGCACCCCAGGGTGCTGCCATGGGCTCCGTCTTCCCAGCACTGCCCTCGACGCTATAAACAAGCACTGATGTGCGGTGGCGTGGTGGGACATCTCCAGCTCTGCCCACCTAGGTCCCTGCCGTCACCCCCTTCTCTCACCCCCTGATTCAGGACTGGGGATGAGGAGGAAAGGTGCTGTCTCACCGCCAGAAAGATCTGCGTGGCGCTGCTCACCACCTCGATGTACTGGTAGTCGAGCAGGCAGCCGCTGACGGTGATGACGTGATGGTCCTCGGGCGCCAGGTTGGAGTTGAGTACCGGCGTCACCAGGCAGCCCGGCCCGTTCTCCATCCACCATGAGCGGTGCAGTGAGGTATTGAAGGTCATGATGAAGTCTCGGTCCTGCGGGAGGGGAGCACAGGAGGAGGCACAGAGCGTGGAGCTGAGGATCTTCACAGAGGGCTTGGGCAGAAGATGGGGTTTTCCAACCTGAGGATGCTCCACAAGACCCAGAGCACAGTAACACAGTGCAGGGCATCTCCCCAACCTGCAGCCGGCACCCCAGGGTTTGTGGCTTCCTCCCATGCTGGTGTCCATGCACCAGAGTGGAGTGGAGGGATTGAATCCACTTCCTCGACCTGCTGCTTGAGAGGCAGAACCATGGGACCACCCCACCAGCATGGCCCGAGGATGCAGGGCAATCCCCTCTGCTTCCGCTGGCATTTCAGGGTGCATCCTCCATCCCCATCCCCACAGAGCCCTGCAGGGATCTCACTCCTGCACATCCCCTCCTTGTAAGCCCATTGCCAGGCTTTGGGGCTCTCTCTGTTTCATCTCCTGTTTCATCTCATTACTGAGGTGCTGGAGTGGGTGCAGAGAAGGGCAATGGGGCTGGTGCAGGGCCTGGAGCACAAGTGTGATGAGGAAGGGCTGAGGGACCTGGGGGTTTAGTGTCGAGAAGAGAAGGCTCAGGGAGGACCTTATCGCTCTCTACAACTGCCTGACAGGAGGATGGAGCCAGGAGGGGGCTGGTCTCAGCTCCCAAGGAACAAGGGATGGGACAAGAGGAAACGGCCTCAAGCTGCCCCAGGGCAGGTTTAGATGGAGCTGAGGAACAATCCCTTCCCCAGAGGGTGCTCAGGCATTGGAACAGGCTGCCCAGGGCAGGGCTGGAGTCACCGTCCCTGCAAGTGTTCACACCCCGGGTAGACGAG